TTATTAATGTTCTGCATTTCTGTTTTGAGCTGCGCGCACTGAAGATGACCAGTATAATGAAGCATTTGATAGCAGGTTTTTAATCAATGGGATTTAACTCATCATTTATCTCATATAGAATACGCTTCGTTATTTATACAACATAACGTTAATATTACGACTTATAGGCTATCTGCACAAAATGTCCAGAATGCATGAACGTGTCTGCGCAGCTCTGAATTAACTCCTTTTGTGGACGCGTTCTTCACACAACAACGTGCAGAAACACAATCCCTGCCGCCAAGATGCTCCTCTGTCGGTCACGGGTTATGGAAAGTGAAACTTAAATCTATAGGGGTGGTTGGATTTATTCACGCACGTTAAACTATTTATTTGAATCTTCTTTCTTTTCAGATTCTTAATTACAGCATTATTTTAATAGGCTGTATATTAACTTATTGGGAGAAAAACAGTAGTTCTATGTGAAATCAGACATTTCAGCACCCCTATATAGCCAAAATTGCATGATCATAACACCCCGCGAATATTCGACTATGAGATTGGTAGTCGAATCAGGCTCCTCCAATCGAAGCATCGAATCTTAGACTCTTCGGGGTCACCCCTAGTATATACTATATTATTTATAATGGAATAAATTTATAACAGCTCCCTATTTAAAATACTTTGGTGGAGGTGGACAATATGACCAAAATCTTTGCTACCAAAACGTGATAATTCAATCTGAAATGAGTTTTGTCAATATACCAGAATGTATAGAGTTGATACCATATACAGTGGGGAAAATATTTATTTGATCCCCTGCTGATTTTGTAAGTTTGCCCACTTACAAAGAAATTATAATTTGATTTTTATGGTAGGTTTATTTTAACATATAGAGACAGAATATGTTGCCTTTTTTAAAAAATTTTTTTTTACTTATTTCACTCACTGAAATGCAAATCAATTTCTAACTTATATAATGCATTTTTTCTGGATTTTTTGGTTGATATTCTGTCTCTATCTGTTAAAATAAACATACCATAAAAAATTACAGACCCTTCATTTCTTTGTAAGTGGGCAAACTTACAAAATCAGCAGGGGATCAAATAAATATTTTCCCCACTGTACTGTCAACTAAATTTGTCAGCTGTTCGACATGAATATTTCTTCAAGGTGGAAGTACTCTACCAAAAACCACAAATATGTCACCATAATAAATCTTTCAGAAAAGATTTGAAGGTAATTGCATATGATAATACGCATATTTTGAAGTCCAATTTAAGCACATTAATAGTAAATATATTATGGAACTTGATCTTAAAACTTTCCCCTTCTATCTAAAAGCACTGGGAACTGCTTTCTCAGACTGGTTACATTGTTAATACATACTCAAAATTGAGTGCTGAACCCAGTATTTCAGAGTCAAAAGCAGCTCTTCTTAAGCTCTTCTTTAAGAAAGCAAGCATCTTTCTTGCTAGCAAGAAATCTATCACCATCAGCACTGGCTAGCAAGAAAGCTATCACCATCAGCAATGGCGCCCCTCAGGGTTGTGTTCTTTCCCCACTGCTCTTCTCTCTCTACATGAATGAATGCACTTCAAAGGACCCCTCTGTCAAGCTCCTGAAGTTCGCGGACGACACTACAGTCATCGGCCTCATCAAGGACGGAGATGAGTCTGCTTACAGACAGGAGGTTAAAGAGCTGGCTGTCTGGTTCAGTCTTAACAACCTGGAGCTTAACACGCTTAAAACTGTGGAGATGATCGTGGACTTGGAGATGATCCCCTGCACTTCCCCCACTGACCATCATGAACAGCAATGTGGCTGCAGTGGAGTCATTCAGATTCCTGGGTACCACTATCTCTCAGGACCTGAAGTGGGACACTCACATAGACTCCATTGATAAAAAGGCCCAGCAGAGGTTGTACTTCCTTCGCCAGCTGAGGAAATTCAACCTGCCACAGGAGCTGATGAAACAGTTCTACTCAGCTATCATTGAGTCTGTCCTGTGTTCATCCATAACTGTCTGGTTTGGTTCAGCTACAAAATCAGACATCAAGAGACTACAGCGGACAGGCAAGACTGCTGAGAAGATTATCAGTGACCCCCTGCCCAGGCTCCAAGATCTTTACATCTCCAGAGTGAGGAAAAGGGCTAAGAAAATCACCTTGGACCCCTCACACCCAGCCCACTCTCTCTTCGAACTGTTGCCTTCTGGTCGGCGCTACAGAGCACTGACCACCAGAACAGCCAGGCACAAGAAGTTTTTTTTTTACCGCAGGCTATATTCAGCCTGAACAATTCAACTTTCATAATTATACATCGTCCATCACAATTGACATATTTATAAACAGAATTCAAAATTTGTACACTTGTAAACTGCACACTTTGTAAATAACATATCTGCACACTTATAACATATCTGTACATTTATCTAAACAATTACATTTATTTTCCTATACTTCTATCTATGTATATAGTTGTTGTTATGGGTGTGTCTACAGATTTCTTGCCATATGTCTATGTTTCTTGCATCATTTTGTGGTTAAAGTTAACCTTTTCGACATGTTTCCCTGTTGTCTTTGCTCAGCAACAGCATGGACGTGATGTTGTCTGGGGGTTTGGCAAAAGGAGAGTGGGACTGTGGGCGGTGCTCAGGGTGGTGACTGAAGGCGGTGACTGTGTAGTTCTGAAGTCAACTTTTTACGGAAATCACAACGGTTCGTGAAAAATCACAGCTACTTTAAGCAGGCTGTGTGAATTTTACTGTGGACTGACTGTTTTGAAACTTATATGGCAGTTA